ACAACCCCTTCTTCTCTGTTTTGCTCTGGAAAGTGTTACAAAGCTCCTTTGGTGCTGCTGATAAATCCAAAGGGTGCTCCATCCACCATCCTCTTCAGCCTGAAGGCACTTGGATCCAGTGCTTGGTCAGCAAACCTAGCTCCCCAGATTAAATGCCTAGAGGCGACCGATTTTGCAAGAGCGCCTCCTTCCTCCCTGAAGGCACTCAGTTTTAGTTGCTCCACGTAAGCCTGGAATCCTGGTGGCTCAGTCTCATAGTGCAGGTCTTGGTTCTGGGGCTGCTGCTGCATCCCCGTAGCTGTTCTGGGATCACAGCTATCTGCTAAATCAAGGAGGGTCAGGGACTGCACAGAAGCCCCAGGGTGCACTCACGGCTTAATGGTAGTGAGACCCTCATTCCTGCTTCTGAGATTTTATATCTATCAAGAGGACAAAATTGAACAATTCTCAGATTAAATTTTCCATATACCCTATTTGAATATTTCCATCCAGTCATTTGGAGGGAGGCATAAAGGTTATGGCTTGAAGAGCTACGTTAAATAGTTCACTGCACCACAGCTAATAAAAACAAAACAGAGAAAGTAAACGTTTACGTTCTACTATGTATCTCTTCAGGAGCCCAGGGGGCCTAGTGGTTACCCACTGGGACACAGATCGAAACTACCAGCCGGCTCTGAGGAAGGAAAAGGAGGCTCTCTACGCTGGAAAACAGTTACAGTCTCAGAAACCCCCGGGCAGGGCTATCCTATCCTACAGGGTGGTTATGAGTCAGAATTAACCCGATGGCACTGAGTTTGATGTTGTCCATCTCTTCATATCCTAATCACAGTTACAGTATAAAAATTAGATTTAACTACTTCTAAGCAAATAAAATATTTTAAAGATGTTGATTCCAATGATTTGATTTCTAAGAAGTAAATAGATGAAACTAAATAGAAATCTATACAAAAATAAATGGAAACTTTCTAAATTAGGATTAAAGTATTCACTTCCTATTCCTCCCAGCGACATGTTCTTAAACATTTTGTTTAATTCCATAAAATAAAAGTATAACTTAAGAATTTAATGTACAAAACTCCACTCCTGCTCCAAAGTTTCCAATGGAGAAAGAGAGATGGAGAGGTGCTACTGCCATGAAGATGAAAAGGAAAATCACAGAATTTTAAGTTGCCATGTGAGTCAGAATCAAGACCAGGGCAATGCATTTGGATTTGCCTTGCTCATTGCTAGCTAAGTATTGCTTTTTATTGCCCAAGTCACTTAAGCTTTTATAGGCTCCAGATTTCTTGGGCTTTGCAATCAAGAAAAAACACAGCCGAAATGAAATCAAAATAGAAATCCTCTGATTAGTCTTCTCACTTTTGCTTTGATATGAGTGAGCACAGAAACCTGGTGTTGCTGTTGGGTGCTATCAGATCTATTCGGACTTATACCAACCCCACGTGACAGAGTAAAATGGCCTCACGGGGTTTTCCGGGCTATAATCTCTACAGAGCGGTCTGCTAGACCTTTCCCCCGAAGCGCCATTGAACACATTCAGACCACTAACCTTCTTGAGGAGCCGTCGAGGCCTTAACCAACTGCAACCCCTGGGTGCCTTAGAAGCCTATTAAGCCCCCACACCCCACAACCAAGGAGTTGATTAGCCACTGGAAATTACTGACTATGACTTCTTTGTTCAAAATCATACATGAATGTAAATTAAATTATTTTAATATTTTAACTTGGTACATTTGTACCCAAATAAGAAAGTAAATGGTTTAACCTTTAAGTTAATCATATACGACTCCATACTGTTTTCAAGCAAATCTAATTGTACTGACCAAAAGAGTCATGTCCACAAGGACGTCATTCTGATTCTTTTTTTTTTCTTTAATCGTTTTTATTAGGGGCTCATACGACTCACCACAATCCATACATACATCAATTGTGTAAAGCACATTTGGACATTCATTGCCCTCATCATTCTCAAAGCATTTGCTCTCCACTTAAGCCCCCGGCATCAGGTCCTCATTTTTTCACCTCCCTCCCCGCTCTCCCCTCCCTTATGAGCCCTTGATAATTTATAAATTATTATTTTGTCATATCTTGCCTTGTCCAACGTCTCCCTTCACCCACTTTTCTGTTGTCCAGCCCCCAGGGAGGAGGTCACGTATAGATCCTTGTAATTGGTTCCCTCTTTCCAACCCACTCTCCCTCTACACTCCCAATATCACCTCGCCACTCACACCACTGGTCCTGAAGGGATCATCCACCCTGGATTCCCTGTGTCTCCAGTTCCTATCTGTACCAGTGTACATCCTCTGATCTAGCCAGACTTGCAAGGTAGAATTCGGATCATGATAGTTGGGGGGGAGAGGGGGAGGAAGCATTTAGGAACTAGAGGAAAGTTGTATTTTTCATCATTGCTACATCGCACCCTGTCTGGCTCATCTTCTCCCCGAGACCCCTCTGCAAGGGGATCTCCAATGGCCTACAAATGGGCTTTGGGTCTCCACTCCGCACTCCCCCCATCATTCACTATGGTAAGATTTTTTGTTCTAATGATGCCTTATACCTGATCCCTTCGACACCTCATGATCACAAAGGCTGGTGTGCTTTGTTGCTTCTGAGCTAGATGGCCGCTTGTCTACCTTCAAGCCTTTAAGACCCCAGACGCTACACCTTTTGATAGCCGGGCACCATCAGCTTTCTTCCCCACATTTGCTTATGTACCCATTTGTCTTCAGCGATCATATCATGGAGGTAAGCACACAATGATATGATTTTTTGTTCTTTGACGCCAGACAACTGATCCCTTCGGCACTTCGTGAGCACACAGGCTGATGTGTTCTTCTGACTCTGAGTCTGACCCTAATATGTTAACTCCATCGGTAATTTAGTTTCTAATGGGAATAATGACTTGTAGAATCAGACACAATGGTCAAAACGTCAGACCCAAAATAACTACAGAAACTTGAAATGGCCGCTAGTTGTACAAACTAAGATCATACTCCAGGGAAATCTCAAACACACACACACACACACACACACACACCTCAAATGGAGTCTCCTCTACTAGTTTGTGTTTATTTCAGTTGCCACCTTCTTTGCAAAAAAGAAAAAATTTAATAAGAAATTTCCGCAACATCTTATATAACAAAGTGTGAATCCTGTAATCATATCCATGTCTATCACTAGCCACGCTGAGGAACATGTTTCGTGGTCATCCTTAGATCTGGAACTTTTCTTCAAAGCCATGCCAACTCCACATAGATTTCACAAAGTAATCCAACATCTGGGAACATCTATCTCCTGCTTTGGGTCACTCCACATGCTAGGCTGAAGCGTTACCTTGGCCAACTCCCTGCCAACCTATTAGAGTTAGGGCCTATGGTTAGTTTACCACCTTCCTGTCTAGCAATCCCACAATGGTGGGTACGGTACAGCCTGCTAATAAAAAAAAAGCCACAGGTCCACATGAAAACATTGATCCAAATCATAATCAATGGCACAGTAATCATTAGGATAGAGCCTCTTACAGCTCTTCAATCCTTAGCTGCCATCCAAAATTAAAATGACATCTAGAATTTACCTCAAGCACTTCAGATGAAGCTAGTGATGGAGAAGGATAACATAAAATATCTATGACTCTGCTGTAGCTTAAAGACAGGTACACGAAGGTTCACGATACACCTGTTATATTAAAAATGTAAATATAAAGTGATAAAAAGTATTTTTAAGAAACTAATCAAAATATAAGAAAAGGAGAAAGACATACAGATATCATGAATATCACAATCTGTTTTCTTTACCCAAGATGCTAAAAAATGAAAAAATAGACAGATAAAGCAGAAAAAAAATTTTTTTAATCATTTTATTGGGGGCTCGTACAACTCTTATCATAATCCATACATACATCAATTGTGTCAAGCACATTTGTACATTTGTAAGCAGCAATTTTTAAAATCAATAATCCCACTAGGAAAAAGAACAGTTCAGACTTACAGTCCAAAAAATGTGGCAATGATGCCCTTAGAGCCTTTTTCAGTATTTCAAAAAGCAAATAAAACAGTATATATTTAGCCACAATAAAACTTTTAAAAATTATTTCCAATATCTCTACTTTGAATTAAGTTATATAAGCATAGATATACTAGTTCTATTTTACTTATCAGGAATTACTAACCGTGTGATCTATTTCATGAACAAAAATGTCTGTCTAAATAAGAGACCCAAACGGGAATTTAATAAGAAATCCTTTATTGGTCCAAGTTTGGGGGACACAGCTATAAAAGATTCAACCAGCTCTGACTTAGAATTTGAACTCAAGGAGGGGTTAGCTGGGGCCAGAGGCCAGCTTTCACAATATGCAAGAATGTTACACAAAGTAAAA